TGCATTTGATTGATAATTCTGATATCTGTCATCTTTGTAGGTAAGATTCCCCAGTGTGATTTTTTGGGCTTATTTTCCTTGGAATTTTATCTGTCAGGATTGTGGGTTTAAAGTACAATCCTCCACAGATGATTTACATTTGTTCCTTCTAGGTGCTTGAGATTATTACCAGGCAAGGATAACTTCACATTTTCAGGTTGGGCCTACCTACCCACCCCTAAAATCACAGAACTGATGTGAACTCTGGCTTTAAACTTACTCAATAAGTAGCTTCTTATACATTCTCAGGGAAGACTTTTCTTTCCCCAATTTGTTACCCCTTGCACCCAGATACAAGGCAGAGACAGGCCCAAATCCCACTATCAAACTCTGAAGATCTGCTTATTTTCCTAGTTCATCAATTGAAGGTGTATACTGTAAGGATTCTGGACTTATGCTAAGGGGAAGAGGTCTCACATTAGACCTCACCACCAGGTACAGGCCTCTAATGTCACATGCCTATACACCCAGCACATGAAATGAAAATTTGGGCTGTGGGCTAACAGGAAGCAGTTGATAACCACTGCAACCCTAAGACAAACATCTGTGTGGTATTTTGTCATTCTGTACTTTTTTTTTTGTGGTGGTTTTTGGCTCTGAGGAATTTCTTTACTTACCCAGCTCAATCATGCATTAGAAAAGATAAATACCCTCTGCAGCACTGTTAAGCATTTATCTGAATCTGGTCAGACAGATGGCTCTGGCTTCTATTTCTTTAAAATAGGAGGTAAGGTTCATATGCTGAGGACCACAGTGGGGAATAAAAGGTTTTCTAAACAATGGAAAAGGCTTGAAACAGTGTGAAAATGGGAAAGTTGAAGCAGCACTAAATAATAAAGAATTAATGATACCCAGGAAACTTCATGGTATAGAAAGATTTACTTGACAAGACTTTACAGCATTGGAACTATACGGTAGTCTCACATCTGGTACATGTTAGCCATATGACCCTGGACAAATCATATCCCTTTTTTGTTTCATAGGAGTTAGATGAAGATAAATTTATAAAATGCTTTGAAAATATTAAATGCATAAAACATAAGGCATTATGATGTTTTCTGCAAAAGATATGTATCAGAAACTCTGGTCTCAGAAAAACAGGATTAAGTTAGTGGAAAAAATGCACCTTAGTAGATTCTGATAAAAGTTTATAATCACAGTTACAAATAAAAGTCAAATACTGAACCTGGCCACTATTTCCAGAGAATAGTACTACTCTGAGACTTAGCCTTTCTGTTTAGAATTTGTTGAAACCAAATTAGCTAAACTCTAATGATTATATGCCATTTTTCATGTTATGAAAATACTTTTGCTTAACAAAACTCTAAAAAAGTAGTTTCACTAGTGAGATTTTACCCACGGTAATAAAAAAAAAACAACTCTTTAATCAAACCAAGATAATCTAAGAGAATCTTAGCATTAATAATATGGAATCTTCGAGACAGAAAATATAAAGATTCCTCACAGTCCATAATTCACCTCAAATATTCATTAAAATATAATTAAATCCACACACATTTGATGACTAAATATTTTCTAGGTTTTAAAATTTTTAGATCATTCAATAATATATTTACTGTTGTTCTAGTTGCTGTAAAGTAAAAATATAAAATAACTTCTTATCCTCAAGGAATTTTCATTTTAGGTAGTGAAAATATTTTTTTTTTATGGGAAATCACCAAACATGACAAAACCAACATACCTGTAAGTTGACTTTCTTGTTATTTAAAGGGTCATCAATATTTGGAAGAGCTTATCCATTGGAAGGAACAATAACATCATCAATGAATATAAGCGTTAAGATTTTAAATTTAATTTTCCTAGGTGTTTAGCCATTATGACTAAGTCACTGTATTTTATCCTGACTAAGCAACTGGCATTCATAATACAAAATTGCAAGAAAAAATGTCAATATGAGCCTCAAAGATGAACTCATTGATTTTGGCTTGCATTCCAATGCTCCAAAGACAGTGTACTAACTCTCATTTTAAGTCCTTTTACATGTCCTAATGGTGGATAGCATCAGTTTTATCAGATAATCTGCTTTAGATACAGAAGAGTTTTTCCTGTGAAATTATAGGAGTGTAAACCCTTGTCTGGTTACATTCATGTTCTACTGATATTGCCAGAAAAAGTTCAATGTGGTTTTAGATTAGTGTACTTTTTTTTCCCCTTTCCTTCCAACAGTCTGTTTCCAGGAGGTAAAGTTGAAAAACCTAATTGTTTCAGAAAGGGCCACTTCTTATCTCAATTCCATCCAAATATAGTCACCAAGAGAAAGAGTGGTTTAGGCAGTTCTATTCAAAAACCTGAGTTTTGGAAGACCCACCAAAATGTGTTCAAAGTAGTAATAGTTGCTTTACTGTTTTTTGCTGATCCATAGTTTTTATACCTAATTCCTTAAAGTTAAAATATTTTTAGTTAGTGAGAAAAGTATAACAAATGCTTTAAATAGAGTCAAAAGTAAAATAGAGTTGTTTTTAATATGACAAATACTAAACAAAAGACTTTGAGTTAAAAATAACCAAGTATCAGTTTTGTATTGGCCAACAGACTTTCTCTACCACTTTGCTATAATATGAAAAACTCACTGCGAAGAAACTTCATTAATTCAGAGTGATCAATGGGAAGTACATTTCCAGTTATGTGGAACTGATATTAAAAACTGGATTAAAATAATCTTTAAAATTCAGGTTCCTCTGGATTTTCTCTAAAAGGGAAAAATGTTTCTGATTAAAATGTCTCTTTTTAAATAGGATTTCCAAAATGTTGAAAATATACTTAAGTACCGTTACATGTTCTAAAATTGTTTGATTACAAAAAAAAAGTAGACAACTCACATTGTTATTAGGAGACACCACAAAAGAAAAAACTTTAGCTCAGTTTCTTTCCAAATTATGTTTTCTAGGTCAATAGTGTTTTATTGCTGTCTCAAAAAAGTACACAACACCAATGAGATTATTGTTTACTAGGAAGATTTTTAGACTTTAAATTCTTTCTTACTAGCTTGGAATATTAATCAAATGTCTGAAAACCTGATCTACATACTTTGTGTATTTTATGCTGTAAAACCATACTTTTTAGAATTCTGAGCTTAAATATTGATGCTTTTTCTAGTGTGATAATGTTAGCTGCTTTATCTTGGAGTGAGGAGCTAGCTGGTAGAGAGTACAAGGAATCTTCTAGGGCACTAGAGATGCTTTATATTCTGGGTGGTGGTAACATGGGTGTATACATGTGTGAAATTTAACTGTACATTTAAATTATGCATTTTATGGTATATATCTCAAGTATAGAGTGCTTAGCCATTAAAGAAATGCCAACTATTTTACAATGAACCGTGAATATGATTTTGTAAGTCAAAATATATGGGGGAAAACAAGTTATCTGAATGCTCACAGCATGTGAACTGCTAGTCACTTTCAGGTAAATTAATTGTATCTGACACTACATAAGGCTTACAGTGATGAGAAGTCACTAACAGCCTATCAGAAACTCAAATTTCTATCAAGTGTTAAAACAGCTTAAACAACTAGAAGATTAGAACATCCTCAAATAAGTGACATGATTATAGCATGATCATTTGATTAATGATTACTCATTGTTTTTATTTCTGCTTCTTGCTGTTTGGGTTTTTGTCATTACACTGCTTGGTCTGCCAAAAAATTGAGATGAAAAAGAATTAAAGTTAAATTAATTTTCTTACCTAACTGTTGTTTTTCGTGTGCTAAATAGCTCAAGTTATGTGCGTGATTTTAAAAGTATGTATTGTTTATTATTAAGGGAGAAAAGAGTTGATTTATGAAGGAAATGTAAACACCTAATCTGCCTCAAATGTTTTTCTTTTTTTGCTTTTGCTAGGAATTATGTTAATTCTCATCACCTCCAAAAGCCTTTGAGAGGATTAGCTGCATAGACCAATATTGTTCTATATTAGTCAGTATTAAGCATATGATGTCACTTTGTTCCTCCCCTCCTCAAGCTTTTCTTTGGAGGGAAGGGGGGGGCATTTTAGGGCAGTTCCCAAAATACTGTGGCTTAAATACCACTAGCTGACACATATGATTGACAACCTTAAACTCCCAAACCTGTTTGAAATGGGTCAAATACTCAAGCGCTGCAGAACAATGCAATTCAATCAGCAATTCCCCATAAAAGAGAAAGGGGGTGTGATTAGGTTCCAGCAATTAAGCAAGTTATTGCAAAAACAGTTTGGTGGCTTGTTTCTGCAATAGGCACAAGTTAAGGAGTATTTTCTTTCTTAATTTGCTCCAAAAAAAGCTATACTGTAAGAGGTAGGATAAATTACCAAAGCATGAAGCACCTGGAGCAAACATTAAGGGCTTTATGGAGGTCCTTAGACTGACCTGCAGCATTGGTTATTGATGGTTAACCCTGCTGGGAACGATCGATCAGAATTTGTGTGAGCCTTATTGAGCCACAGGAAAGGAGATGCAGGAGGGAATATAAGCTTCTAATAAAAGAAACGCAGCAACAATAGCAGAGGAACAGCTCTGCCTGGTGACGTAATGGCTGGCAGAGGTCCAGCTTCAGCAGAGCTGCTGCTACCTCAGCATCCAACCTCCCTCAACACAGTCCAGCTTCAGCGGAGGTACTGGAGCTGCTACTTCTGGCGTTGCTACTTTGTTGCTGCCACCAACCCCTTACCTTACAGGGCCAGAACACTGAACAAAAGGGGTTGTCCTGCTGTTTTTAAGTTGACAGAACACACATTCTCTTACTCACACTCTGCCAAACCCTTCAGTAATCGAATCAACCAGATGCTTAAGTTTAGGGCGAAAACACTGGCGCACACTCCAGGGGTGCCTCAATTTACCCAGGCTGGTCTCGAGTCCGCCTCTCACTGTTCCCCCGCCCCCCAGCCGCCGGCCCTCGGCGGGAGTTGATGGGGCGGCTCCGCTCACCGCCTAGGCTCCCGCAAGTCGGTCCTCCCGCCTTACCTCCGCCAGGTAGAGGTTGAGGAGACAGAGCGTGGAGAACTGGAGACAGGAGGGGAAGCAGTAGAGCAGCCAGTGGGGGAAGAAGTGCAGGTGAGCGGGCGGCCGGAGCAGGGGCAGCGAACCGCTGAGCGAGAAGGCGGCGGAGAAGAGGGTGGTCCTGAGCGCTGCCCACAGGAGACAGAGGAAGAGGCAGAGGCTCTGGTAACTCAGCCGCCGCTGGCGATACAGGAGCAGCCGCCACAGCTGCAGGTAGGCAAAGGCGAAGAGCGCGGCGTAGAGCAGGGCGTGCAGGACGCTCAGCGCCAGCTGCACGGAGCCCGGCACCGCGGCGCCAGAGGCAGCAGCGACGGCGCCTCCGCCTCCGCTGCCCGCGCCGGGCGTCGAGGGTTCGCGGCCGGCAGTGGGGGCGACGGCCGCCGCCGGACCCGGCACTGACACCCTCATGAGGGGGTTGGGGGACAGGCGAGGGTGCGCGGGAAGGAAGGGGCCGGACTCCGGGCCGCCGTCGATGGGGAGAAGGCTTGCCCTCTTACCCCCCACCCACCCCAGCCTCCAACCCCAGGAAGCGCCGTGACAGGACCCGGAGCCCCGCGCAGAGCAGCCGCGGCTCCCCCCCTACCCCGCCTTTTCTTCTCCCCCCCCCCCCCCCCCCCCCGGGGGTCTCGGCTCCTCCTGCTGCGGCTCGGCTCCGTAGCTGCAAAAAACAACTCTCGGCTGGAGACAATCAGCTGAGAAACCCGAGCATTTGAGGCGCTCGCTCCGCACCGTGGGCTAGCACCGATTGGTCCAGGCAGGCACGCCCCCCAAGCGCCGCGCTCGAAAGGCCATGGGCCTTAGAACCCGTCACTCCGAGGTCTTGAGATCCGATTGGGCGTCCAGTTTCCCCGATTTCTGCCCCCGCTCCACTCCCTACCCATACTGCTGATTGGCCCAGCAACTGCATCGCCGGCTCGCGCCGGCGGGAGGACTCGGTTGTCGTCTGTCACTTGGGGTGTCTCTCGCTCCGCCCTCTGCGCCTGCCATTGGCTAGGGAGTCCTTTACGTAAGAAGCACGAGGAGAAGGAGGAGCCTCGGGTGATTTTTTTTTTTTTTTGCTCCGGTGACCGATTCCGCCGAGAGGGTGGCGGCCACAGGCGGGGAGGGTGCGGGCCGTACGTCCTCACAGTTAGGCGTAGCTGTGGCCGGCCTCCTGGAAAGCCGGCTGCTGTCCCGCCTTCTGCCTCCAACTTGGTCTCAGGAGGCAGGAACCCTCGTCCGTGGGTTTGGTTCGGGTCCATCCCCGCAGGTCTTGCATTATATATATGTATACAGGTCTCAGGCAGGTAGGTGGCAGCGCGTGTCCTTCAGATATGGTTCTATTTTTTTTTTTTTTTCCTGTCTGCAGAAATGGGTATTCAAACCTGGCGGCTTTCCTCTAGCAGGGGCTGCACCGCTAAACTCTGAGTTAGCACTACTGCTTCTGGGACACGGAGGGGCCTCACCCGGACCTTTCTGAAGGACATTTTATTTTTTTATTTTTTTTTTGTTGTGTGAGCTGTAAGAAACCGGGATGTGTGGGTGGGATGATGTGACGGGTGAACTGAAACTCTTGCGTTAAAAGACCCCCTTCCTTTGGAAACGTCCTTTAATAACGAATGGTGGTAGGATCAGAGGAATGTCGAAGCCATCTGTGAGTAGGAGAAGGTTGTTCTTTGAAAGAAAATTTGGGAAGATGCCTCAGGTATAAATTTGCGGGGGTGGGGGGGCAGAATCAAAACTAATGATTGTCTAGAAGGGAAGGAGAATAGCCTGCTTCTTAAATCCCACTTGTGTTGAAGCCTTATTCTTGAATATAGGAGATGGTGGCGCTATTCCTAGGACTGAGAAAGCTACAAAATAAATGTTATGTTACGGCTTATGTATAAACGAGAAATAGTTTTTCCAACATATTCCACACATAATATTTATTGATTTTTTGTGTGTTTGGAAATAAAGGGAACAAAGTGGTGAGAGATTAAGAGGAAATAATTTATGTTTTTGGAACGAACAGCACATCACACATTCAGTAACCTTGTAAAAGGTACTGTTACCTTTACTGAAGCAATCAAAACAGTCTTTCCTCACTACTCTTTGTCCTATGCTTTGCCCAGAAAGAGCGTTGCTCTCTTTTTGCCCAAGTAAGTGGTCCACAGGGAGGGACTTTAAAGTCTGTTTTGTACTCCAGATTCTGGGCTAGTAGTTCACCAGGCGCTAGGTACTGCTGCCGTGTGGGTTCTTTCTAGGTATAATGACAAAATGATGGATGAGTGTGCCTGATACTATTATGTAGACATTCTCAGATGAAAATTCAGTGGAGCCTGTTGACCAGTGTAGGGTACAGTAGGGTACAACTTAATGAAAGAAGTTAACAGGCCTGATCCAACATCAATACTTTGAAGAAGGAACCTATATTATTTGGAAATTAAGAGAATCAGCAGAATTGATTCTTACAGAATGTGGTTAGGGTAGCCATAAAACAGGTGATAGAATGCTCATGACAGGAGTGAGGTAATTGATTGCAGTTGTGTACTTAAGCACAAAATCAGTTATGTCATTTTAAGCATTTGTCAAAATCAAGATTACCATTTGTTCTTCAGCATGCCCTATTTGTGCATCTTCCATGATCAATGAAGTATGAATTTAAGTCCAGGAAGAGGTTTTTTTTTTTTTTTCCTTTTTCTCCTCTATTCTCTGCTCAAAATGGTAATAAAAAAACATCCAGTTTGTACTCACATGAATTTGCTTGTGAAACTCTTTTTCTCCTTGTGTGAGAGTAAGTATGGACACATTTTTTCTTTCTTTCTCCCTTTTTTGGGTGAAGAATATGGGGGTAAAAATACAGGATTTTCTTTCTACCTGCTTAGAAGGACTCTGGCAAAATGTCAACTGCTTTTATTGCTTCCTTTGGGTCCTTGGATTTATTAAATAATAAACTGTTGAGATTTAATCAACATTTTATTAGAGGCTGGTGCAGTGAGCAGATTCTGTTCTTCAGTAGCAGCATTAAACTGTAAGTAAGCTATTTTTTGACAGAATGTTTTTATAGGAATTTTGTAAGCATTATATGCCCCATTTGTTGCAAAATATGGAATGTGTCTTTTCCCAGAGAATAGTGCACACAGATCTTGATATAATTTATTTAATAGTTATAGTTGCTAGCTACATTTTTTTCTTGACAGGGTAAGCAATTGATTTTATGGTTAATCACAATGGAACTTTAGTCCTATAAAGGGGAAACTCATCAAGGATCCCCTAGAAAAGCTTACTGCCAGGTATTCTAAAATTTAAATGTATTCAAATGCACAAAGGTTGAATATTGTACTACTGATAGGGCAGATTACTCTTTAAAAGCAGAACTGTATATTAACTGTACATCAGACCCAATACCACAATGGGACTGATTTAGCTAAAGGAGGACTACCAGCTGTTCTACCGGCCTAAGGAGCACATAGAGGCAGATTTGCGTCTGCCTCCCCACAGGAAGGCAGGGTTTATGACTTTCACTTGAAGTACTTCCTGTTTTAAGCTCTGTGGTGACTTAATTAATATTCTATTGCCGAACCAAAGAAAGAAACACCCCTCCAAAACAACAAAAACCCCCAAAACAACAACAAAAACCCCTCATGTTGTCATTTGCTTATTTTTTTGTGTGTGCAAGCTTTAGCTCTTTTTGTACTGTAGCCTCACTGACCCATTCTTATAGTGCTTGTTATTGTCTTAGTTTCAAGTCAGTCATTCTTTCCATCTTTTAGATCACCTTTGCATGCATACTTATTTAGAGTTTAGGGGTAAGACTAAAGTTATATCTTTTTATGACCTCTGATTACTGCTTATAGGATTATTATACTGAAGAATTAAAGACCCTTCCAGGCTGAAAGTTTGGAGGTGTATGTGTGTTGTGTTGTCAAGCGTTCTGTAACAAATACTTACTTGTGACTTCTTTATTTTGCCTTTGGCACCTGTTGTGGTAATAGTTTCATTTTGAAGAAGTATCTTTACTTTTAGAATCTTCCTATAGTGGAAATGGGTCAACTTCCTGTGAATTCTTTGAAATTTAGAATGGGTGTTTTGCGTTCAAGTCACTTTCCTCTTACTTGTTATTTAGACCAGGTGTAAAAATAGGCAGGTTATATTGTGATAACACCTCCAAAACTTTAGGGATTTAAGTAAACTTTGTTTTACGTTCACAATGAGTCAGCTGGGAGTTTTGCTTCATTTTGTTTTATTTCTGGGACTTGAGTTGATAGAGAAGGCCTCATTTTGAGTATTACCAATCATCATAGCAGAGGGAAAACATATCATGCTTGACACATGTATATCGACTCTTTGAATTTTCCAGAAGCTATATGTCATTTTTTGCATTTCAGTGACTAAATTAAGTCATGGCTGTACCTAACTCAGGGAGGTATAAGTTTAGCATGTATAGAGAACTGGAAACATTTGGACAGTCCGATGTTCAGTCCACACATCTTTTACATCCCATACGCAGTTGATTTCTTCCCAGTGGAGATAAACCAAAAATCTCATCCGGTCACGTGTCACAATTAAAGTCCAGGATTTCTAAGTAATGCCCAATAGTGATAATTTCTTTATCTGGTCTAGACATGAGTTATCTGTCCCCTAATCCATATGTTGAATGCATAGGGTAATGTAGGGACAGATAAGTTCCCATATGGAGAGGGGAAGAATGGAAAACATATACCAGACTGTAGATGGTAGTAATTTGCAGATGTTGCCAGCGATCTTGACTTCTTCCCTACATTCTATGGGCAGTTTTTTTTTTTTTAATTGAGTGTAGTTTGAATATTTGGCAAACAATAAAAATAAGCTGTAGGACAAGTAAAGTAAATATCAAAACCAGTTTGAAATTTATTATTAGTCAACAGATACAAGATTCTCTGTGAAATTTCTAGAAAAACTTCTAAACACACTGGATTTCTGTATTTATCTCATTATTGTAGATCATTAACAAATAGTTCTTATTCTGCACATGTCCTAGAGCATAGTTCTTCATGGTCTTTGGCTTTGCCCTATGAGAGGCCTGCCATTTTTATTATCCTTGGCCACATCTGAGATTGGCTTTGGACAATATGGCTCTTTCTGTGGTTGAGCAATTTGTTCAGCATGCTTTGATGACCATAGAAGGTTGGGGGCTCAAGATTATTTTTGGTTGTGAATAGCCGGACTCTTGAATGAGGCTTCTCCAATTATCTTTTAATACCTCGTTAAATATGACCAACAGTGACCATCACATAGTATTTATTTTCTGTCTTTCAGCCTCTTTTCTTAGTGCAGTAAACAAATTCATTAGCCACAGAAACCAAGGTGCATGTTAATTGTAAATTCATTAAATACACATCACCTCCAAATGATTGTAGCAATGGTTTTATCAAATATTTGCCACATGGCTAACTTGATCTGAGCAC